TTCCTACCGAGCAGGACACATCTTATTCTCTACCATCTGGGACCTTTCCCCTCTTTCTGAAACTTCCAGATTCCAGCTTGCCAGCACCACTGTGGGTCCTCTTGTTTGTAGACTGAGGAGCCCTGACCTTCCCTAGGAAATGGGCAAGGCTGTGGACATCCATACAATGTAGGTTTCACTTTTTAGGGGTGGTATCTCCACTTGCTTAGCAAGGAGCCTCATTTACTAGAGATCCATCCTTAGCATCAGCCACTATACTACCTGTATCAAATGACACACACCATGTAAAGAGAGGATCATTTTTCCACATTGATACGACGTGAAAAAGAAATTGTTAGATAGGATTTTTTTTTTCCCCTCTGGATTGAATAGGGTGGGAGCACGGATAATTTGTTTTTATTTGTACTTTAAATTTGCAAAATGGCAGAACTGCAGCTTCCGGAAGAGGAGGGCACACAGGAGGTGGTCTTGTGAGCCTTGCTTGCAGGAAAATGTTGTGTTCAAGAGACTACCCAAGAGAGCCGATTTTCAAATCTTCCAGGAGAGAATGCCATCATCTCCAGCACCAGGCACACATTCGGGGAAGGGGGGAGCAGGCTGCATCATTCCTCTACCCAGGGCTGTCCTGTGTGATAAAGACCACACATGGCAGAGAATATTCTAAGCGTGTTATCTCAGCCCGATATCTTTTCCATATTCTAGACATTCTTATTTTGCAATTCAGAAGTGACTAGTCTGTTCTAGGCTATAGGGCATTCTAAATATAATGGCCCTATATTCATGTTTGAAAGAAAAATCTGCCTTCACTTTATGTGACTGCAGGATCTTCAACAACTACAGTATAACAGTCTGTTGCAAGTATATTGGATGTTTCAGTTTGCCAGACCTGTCATGATAAATTAATTACAGGATGTTGCAGAAATGGCAAAGCTCCAGCAGCATCTTGCATAGTTTAATATAGACCCATTTCCCCATTTCAATGTATTTGTGGTTAGATAAATCCTCAGAAATTTACAGCTGCTATAGACTAGTTTATTATGTACTCTGCCTGCACACATGATAAGTATAAGAATTTGATGGCCTTAAAGTGCATAGATTTTACTGATATTTCTTTTCTACCGTGGAAATGTTTAGTTGCTAAAAGTAGCACTGGCAGATACTTCTGAACATTAACTTCTGTATAATAGGCAGGATGGTTAAAAACATTACTGTGCTTAACCATCTTTCATTTACCTCAAATTGAAGAATCATAACTCAGAAAAAATTATGTGGGGCATTTATACAGAATGGTCTGTGAACCAATTTAATAGGAAAAAATTAACTACTGATCTTCAGCTAAAGACACCTGAAAAACCAAACTGAAGCTGCCAAACTTGTCTCCAGGGAACTTTCTTCTTCCTTTAGTCTTGTGACTGTTTTTTGTAAGCTTCAGTTGCTCATTTTCACTCTGGCAACAAGTTATTTTCCTCAACTTTTTGCTTTTTCCTCCTTTCAGACTCTCTTTATTTCTCTTATCTTTATTAAGCAAAACATCTCCATCCCAAGCAACTTTAAGAAATCATCCTTTGATTGGCAATATATGAGTTTCCTTATGTAAATGTTGTATAAGCAAAGCATTCTTAAATTTTCTTCTATTATATTCTTTCATAATTCTTGACGAGGCTCAAGTGATTATTTAAGAAGAAATGAACTACAATAAGAAAAAATCAGATTGTTTAGTACTTTTAGAAATGATACTGAAGTATATAGTTGGGCCATTTTGACCTAAGTGATAAGAGTGGAACATGAATTATGTATGGTGTGGAGAAATTAAAATTGTAGGTTTGTTCTTAGAATTGGCCTCCCCAACTTTTGGAGACAAAAATAATCCATCTATAATCAGTATGAATTTGAGGTGTCAGACGAGCAACTTTAGAAAATAGAGTGTGCAACATATGCTTGATATAGATTTGAAGGGGATCATTAGAAAAATAGCATTCTTTGTGTTTACAAAACAAATGTTTTGTTATCCAGTTCCCGCCTTAGCTTAAAGTATTTCCTATTCACCTTAATAATTAGAGCAGAAGGATATGCTGAATGAGTGCCTCATTACCAAGTTTGCTTCCTGGGTCTCTGCAGACAGTAGCTGTCTGCTTTTGCCCAGTTAGTCCATTGTTAACCCTAAATGATGCTGACATTCAATTCTCCTGCAGATAATTGGGTCCATCCATAGACTGAGCTCTCCAGTCAACACAGCCTTTTGATTGATGTGCTTCTTGATGTTTTTATTATCTCTTATATGACTGGAATGGTGCCTTTTCTGTTTCTTGAATAAAATGTTACTGTACATGTAATTAGTTTGATTCTATAGAACCTATTTCTTAAGGAAACATAATTATAGTATGGAGTAAAGACTTACTAAAATAATTATGGGATAAATGATCAGTTTAAAAAGTTTTTTTTCACTAGACTTACTTTATTTAGGTCACTATTGCATTACAAACATATTAGATGTTTCTAGTCCCTAAGTGGGGTCATAGGTGCATTCCAGTTGCTTCTTTAGTTCCTCTTGTGTGTGCTGTAGTCTCCAACTATAAGCATTTACTGGCTTAGTCTCCACAGCAACTGAGATCGGTACTTGAGAGAAGGGCCAACGGAGCCTGACACACCTCCATTCACAGCCAGCATTGACATTTACTGGCTGTGTGCACTTGGACAAGTTACTTAACCTTCAGAGCCTTGGTTTCTTCACTTAGAGAGTTGGGAAGATTTTACATACCTCCATGGATTTGATGGATGTGAAGAGTAAATGAGGTCATGTACATAATAAAGATTTGGGGAATATTTTCTGTAGTTAAGTTCCATTAAGTAGAAGTCAACAAATGTATAGCTTAAAACATTTGGATTGTTTAAAAATGTTCCAGTAACTTACTCAGATGGAAATCATTTAAGTATAAAAATGTAAAGTCACAAATTTTTGTTATAGTTTCTATAACTTTCTAACTCTCTTAAAAATATTTGTGAGTTAAATATGACTAAAGTGACATATCACATAAAGTTATTATAAATTGATAAGTTATTTCCCAGATAGTCTGAACTTCCTAAAGAAAAAAATGTCTTTGTTTAATCAAACTTTTCTATAAATTAAAAATAAAATTAAGGTCAAGTATTTGCTTTTATGTGACAGAAACTCTGCTTGAGATTTTAATAGTATCAAGTGTTAGTCATTTAAAAGCATTAATTTTATTTAAAATGTGCATCTTAAACAGATTTGTATTATGTAAAAATATTTCATGTTTTAAAGCTTTTAAAAATTTGATTTTTATTCTAGCTTTGAAAATCCTATTTATGGTACAGTTTCAATATTGAAGAAACCTTAAATCTTCAAGATAAGAGTTGAATCAGTAATTGGAAAATATATTTCTAAGAATGGCTTAAAACATTATCTAGATATAGAAGTGTCAAATTGTTACTTGTCTGGAGAAAAGAGATGACATGGGATAAAATACAATAATTTCAGAATACAGATAAAACAAACTCAATTTGTTACTAAGAAAATGTACAGTGCCATAAATCATCAAATGGATTCTGATGTCTGATTTTCCACTTGATTGTAATCTGGATCTATTACTTGGAAGGCACCGTTATGATCTTCTCTACCCCATCTTAGAATGTGTGCTAAAGACATTTTAATAATCTATTTGTCAACATAACCTAGTCTTACTTTGTCAACAGAACAAAGAAGAAAAGGACTGGGTTTTGAGTAGAACCAACTTTTCCTAGTGTTTGCCTCAACTGTAACTTTTGTCTTCAGTAGTTGCAAAATAAAAAGAACCCTTTATTTTTCATATGAATATCAAGATCTAAGCAAATGCTTGGCACCCCCTGACATATTTTTCATTTGTCTTGATTTAAAGTATTTCTACAACCTGTTGAAATTCTTTGAGATTAAAATAAAAATCAGAATCAACACACATCTCAAAATTATGAACTGACACTGCAGAGAGACATGTATTTTTATTTTTAAATTATCAAGTGCATTCACAAGACAGAAAGAACAAGCTTGTACAAGGGTGACTCAAGCTGACTAGGCCCAGCTGTACCTGAGGCACAGACTTAGGCATCCAGAACAATGAAAGCTCGACGCGATCAGAACAAACTTCTGCACTGATGGCTGCAGGCTTCAGCAGTCATCAGTGATACTCAACACTTTCAAAAATGCCTTTTGTAAAAAGTTCCACACAGCAGGGACATGTTTACCAATTTTTATGCTTCTACAACATGTGCAGGGATAAGAGCCATATATGTTTTTACTAGAAGATATTTCACATTGGGTACACATCTGGGCAAAATTTACACCTCAATGCCCAACACAGTTTTTCTCACTTCTTATTTTTAAGGAATCAATTGTCTAATTTGGAAGATAAGTTTTTCTAATTTTATATTAGTTTTGACTGTCTTGGGGTTAAACATTTTATTGACAGACCTATCACATAGTTAAAGAAGGAGAAAAGTCAAAGAAAAAAACAACAAAAAAAGAATTTCCCTATTATAATATCAAACTTCATAACATACAGTCACATGATGACATTGTTACTCTGGAACTAAAGAAATAAATAATGCAATGTAATAATTTAAAAACAAATACTGACACTAAAATAAATATAAAATAAGTCTACACATTATTTATATGCTTAAATACAAAATGCCTTTTTTAAAAAGTAAAGAAATGTGGAACACTTTTGCTAGTCCAGTCAAAAATCTCTTTTAGTTTAGGTCTATCAAGTTATACATATGATTCATTCATAAGAAACACAAAATTTTAATTCACAAAAGCAAACTGTTTTCTTTTAATGCCTTTGCTACTAGGACCTTTTGAATACACAATATTCTAAAGCTGCTTATCTTTTAAGTAAAGTTAATTTCAAAAGCAGATACTTCATATTCTGAGCATAACATCACACAAATAACCACATTACAGATATAATAATATTAAACGATTACTTAATAGATACCCTAACAATGCAAACACTTTTTATTCACATTTGCTGAGTAGCAATTATGGTTTTTTCTTTATTAGTTTTCCAACACTGGTAATGTAATTTTGATGTAATTACTAATAACACAAATACCAATACTTTGGCCAAAAACAATCACGATGGTTTATAACAATTAAGCTCAAAGGCCACATTGACTTTTCCACCCACAACTTGCCTTGCTTCTGATTTTTCTGGAGTCTTTCCTAAGAACAAGTATTGGATCCTTCCTTTCTTCCTTAGTATCTGAAAATTCTGAACGCTGAAGAGAAATTCCATTTGGTTTAATTTGTCATTTCACCTCTGTGCATTTGGGTGTCTCTTCCTTCTTCTTTGACTCTTTACTAGGGAGAAAAGTACACAAAGTATACTAAAAAAATGTGAACAATGTCTTCTGGCCATAACCAAATCTTAGCGTGCCCAGGCAACAGCAGAGGTAATAACAGAAACTGTGCAAAATGCACACACATACACACACGATCAAGATCAAAATACTAATTACCTATCCTATTGGTTAGCCCTCAGACATACTGTTGACATCTCTTTATATCATTAGCAATTGTTTAAGGCCTGCTCCAGCATTGACAAGTTAATATAAGCAAATAAGAAATATACTTCCCCAATGTAGACACTAAGAACTCCAAACCATGAGTAATTTTTAGAAATTAAGAATAGGTACTCAGAGTACATAAAGTTCTTCATTCAATGGGAAAAAAAATCATCATGGATGATGCTTCAGGGTTAATGATTGGAAAGAATATAGATCATTTTATTAAATAGCATTCTTTCATTTAGTTTATGGCTGTGCCTACTTTTAAAATTAGGTTAATTATTATATTTTTCAGCAACAGTGATGATTAAACTATGTATCTAGATGCAGCTTTGATTTCAAACAGACTATACCATTAATAAAAACCAAGAACCAATACGCAGATAAAGCAACATGTTGCTTCCTCAGAGACCATGTAGTAGGTGCGCTACAACTAGTGGGCGATAAACTAGTGGGGATGAACCTGGAATTTTTTAATGCAGTTATTCATTTAGCACTGATGAGTTCTGGACTTACACAGAAATGTTACTGTCTTTCTTCTAAGCAGAAAGGGCTCAATACTTGGTTGCCCTTAGAAAACAAACTGCAGCACCAGATGATAGCAGTCTGGTCAACTCCAATGCTCACTACTGAGAATAGTGATGGCTGGCACAGAGGGCTAGGGAATACCTGTGCTTTAAGGCAGCAGTCCCCAACCTTTTTGGCACCAGAGATGGGTTTCATGGAAGGCAATTTTTACATGGACTGGTGTTGGGGGGTAGGGGGCGGAGCTCAGGCAGTGATGCAAGTGATGAGGCATGGCTGTAGATATAGGTGAAGCTTCACTCGCTCACCCGCTGCTCATCTGCTGCTGTGTGGCCCCCCAACTCTTCCTAAGTTTCATGGAAGACAATTTTTCCACGGACTGGGAGCAGGGCTGGGAGGGTGGTGGAGCTCTGTGGCCTGGTCCCTAATAGGCCGTGGACCAGTACCGGTCTGCGGCCCAGGGGTTGGGAACCACAGTTTTAAGGAACAGGCCCAATCTTAAATTAGTAGTTATGCTACCTTTTCGTATTAAAAACATTTACACAAGGGGAAAAAAATCTGTCAGTCCATGTTTCCTCATTTTAAATTTGTTAAATGAAGCTACCCCAGGTAAACTTGTATGATATACAGAAGCCCCAAAGTATGTTCCAGTGAAGCTCATGAAAGCAACTGAAGTTGAGTCTAAAATGGTACAGATACAGTTAGTAAGGCACAATATTCATTAGGGGCAAAAACCTTACCATTTCTGTCCTGTGCGTATACAGAAAAAGTATGTAAAATTTGCCCCAATTAGGATCTGATGAAAATGGGCAAGAAAGTAGCAAAGGTTCAAATGAATGCTGAGTGCAGGTTGCACAGAGATCCTATGAACTTCTGCAAAGGACAGAGAGGAGGCCCAAAGGCTCTCAGAGGAAGAACAACGCAAAACAAAGTGAGGAGAGAAGTTCATGGTGGTGGGAAGACAAAAAAGAAGAAAAACAGAAAAGGGAAGCGGGGAGGACCGGAGGACAACAGCTGGAAATTAGTGAGATGGATCCTGCACGTGCAGAAGATGCGGGACAAGTGAAATCAATCAGGTGGAGACTGCAGGGTGAGAAGTAAACAGACAAGCCCAGAGGACCCTCAGGAGAGGGAACCCAAAGAGGAATTCAATCAGAAAAAGCTGAAGTGGGCGGCAAAGATAACATCTTTTAGGGAAATGATTCAGACTAAGAAGAGGAAGAAACACACTGGATAGAGAACGACAAAGACAGCCAGTGAAAGGAGAAAAGGGACAGAATAAAAGGAAGGGGAGAAGAGATGGTGAAGCGCACACTGCTGACAACCAGCAGCTCACTTCTGTCGATGGGGAAAGCAAGCAGCACACTGGCATGAGGAATGCTGACAGCAGAGGAGCCTGAAAGCTAAAAGAGACACTGGAATTTGCTGAAAGAGGGAGGAACGGTCATCTAGCCAAAAGACACAAGAATACATCCAAATTCATTCCTTCTCTCAGGCCTCTTCACATAAAGTATCCCCATAAGCTAACAGAGGAAGAGTAACAAAGCAAGGGCCTTTTTAAGGCTCTTACAATGAAAAGACAACGGAAAATCTGTGTAGCAAGATTATGAAAACAAATATGAAACTAGGTTCGTGTTTTTATGTATGTTACGTGTGAAGAGTAAGATTCATAAAAATACTGGACCCTGCCCCACAAGAAATTCAATCCAATAAATATTCCCTGTGGCCAGACACCAGGCTAAGTGCTTGGGAGGAAAAAATGTGAGCATGTTACAGTTTCTGCTTGCAAGCACTGCAAGCACTTACCATCTAATCAGAGTTAATGGGCAAAACAATGTGTAAGACAAATAACTCTGAACTTGGAGCCAGAAGATCAAGTTCTAGTTCAGGCACTTTGTGGCTGTGACTCTGAGACCTTGGTTTCCTTAAGTGTAGAAATAGTATGCTGTATTGGAAAATTTCTAGAATTACTTTCATTTTGAAAGAAATGATCAAGTAGTACACACATGTTGAGTAGGAAAATTAGAAAATATACAAAATAAAATAGAAACAAATCACCATAATCTCATCACCGAGACAACTACTGACATCTTTTAATGCATATTGTTTTATGTATATGATATATAAACTATTTTATAATCACCTTTTTTACTTAAAAATCCATCATAAACATCTTTCCATGTGTATAAAAATACTCACATAATATATAATGAGTAACGAACATATAATACCTTATTATACAAATGTTTCATAATTTAATCAACCTTTATTCATAGAAACTAACTTATTTTCCTTCTGTCTTTAAAATACTACTTCAAGGAGTAGCTTTTTAACTGACTCTCTCTGTGTATACTTGAATATTTTTCTATAATAGATTCCTTGAAGTAGAACTGTCAGGTCAAAAGACATGAACATTTTGAAAAATTAAAAAAGAAAAGTATTATCAAACTACCCCCACAAAGAATGAATCAATCCTATGCTATTACCAGCAGTATATGAGGGAACCCGCTTCCATATATGCTCATCAACATTAGGTATCACAAGTTTTGAAGCTTGTCATTTTGTGAGGGGAAAAACACCATCTCATTTATTGTTTTAATTTCCATCCATCTGATCACTGGAAGGTAAACGTTTTTCATATTTTTTGTCATTTATATTTATTCCTTTAATAATTTCCTTTAAGAATGTCCGGTGTACACCCTTTGCCAATTTTTCTACCGTTGTATTTCTTCTCCTATTGATTTCTTAGAACCTTTTATATGTTAAGAGAATTATTCCTTTATGAGAAATTCTCCCGTATCTCAGGTTACTTGTTCATTTAAAGAGTTTTTTTTAACATACATAATTTTAAAGTTTCTATTATTTAAATCTAAAAATTTGTTTCATAATGTTTTCTGATTCTGGTATCAAGGTTGAAAAGTCATTTCTTGACTCATGATTATGTAACTACTTCTGTACAGTTAGATTTTATTTTTTGTAATTAAAATAAAAAAATACTCATGAAAATTTTGAATCTAATTCCTAGAAAGTGACAAATTCATAAATGTGGACGTGAAGAGGGCTGTTTGAACAGACAGCCTTCACTTCTACCTAAGAGAGAAAATAAGGCCGCCTCACAGGCTTTTTTCCTGCCTTGTTGATATCCCATTCCCTATCAGAAAACACCATCATTCAAACACAATTCCCACTGGCCTTTCTCAGGGATTACCCCCTTGCTCCTATACCTCCAGTGGCTCACTTCTCAAGTGCCTCTTTCAGTTTGTAAATGTTCATCATTCTCCTCCTTACAAAGATCACCTCTATATCCTGTGTTTTCCACTAGTTACTGCCCAGCCTTTTCTTTCTAGTGTAGTATTTTTGGGGAATAAGACTATTCTGACAAGTCTTTTCCTTCAGGGCTGGAGACAATCTGATTTATGCTTCCAGGCCTCTCCATCTAAACTATCTTCTCCAAGGTCACAAACGGCATCTTGGTGACAAATCTCAAAGGGAACTTGCCGGTCCTTATTTTCCTTTCCTTCTTTCTAGCATCTGTCATTGTTGACCACACCTTTCTAAATCTTTTTCTGTTGCTGATATGATACAACTTTCTCCTGATGTTCCTCTTACCTCTATTAGGGTGACTTTTCGGCCTGTTTGCTCACTCTTCTTCACCTGCGTGTCCATTATGTGTCCTCGGTCCTCACGGCTCTGTTCTTTGCCCATTTCAGAACTATACGTGAGAAAGACCAGAAACAAGGAGCCAATGAGAAGGCTGCTGTAACAGCTCAGATGAGGCTTTGATCTAGGGAAGTGGCAGTGGGAATAGGAAGGAGGATAAATGAGAGGGTGTGAGAGAAAAACATTTGGCAGAACTATATGAGTGATTATTTATGGGGGTGAGAGACACGGATTTGCTTAATATAGAGATAAACCTTTAGCTGGTTGGGCTCCTTCTTAACCATGATAAAGAGACAAGAAAAAAACATATTTCATCTGTCTTAGAAAAAATATTAGATGCCTGGGAAAAACCATAAAGTTGTATCATCTTGGATGGAAACACACATATACATACACATGTGTAAAAGTATAGGACATTCATTAATGACGAGGAAAGGGGTGAAGGAAGTTTATGCATAAGAAAGATGTGACATCCTGACCAGTGAAGCGGGCAATGTAACTTTCCAAACGACTCAATGGTAACAGTAAAATACAAAACAAATGTTTTGTGGATGGGCGGTAGTAGTGCAATTTATCCTAGGAGGAAAAAAACCACAAAAACAATGAAAAAGTGGGAAAATTGAAGAATGGAAGACAGCATCCTTTCTCTAGGATGTTCAGAAATGGTGGGAAACACCAAAATAGAGCTTGAAAAAGATGCAAGAATTGAGGATGGGCGCGGTGGCTCACGCCTGTAATCCTAGCACTCTGGGAGGCCGAGGCGGGCGAATTGTTTGAGCTCAGGAGTTCGAAACCAGCCTGAGCAAG